GGGTAAAAGCAGCAATGAAGTGGCAAGCTAAGCCCTACAAAGCTCAGTGGACTTCTGTGGACCCAGTTGGGGACCCGGTTGGCAAGCAGTGTGAAGAGACCTGGGGACTCTTGGGCCCAAAGTCAGTGGTGTGGCCACGGAGGACTCAAGAGGAGAGTGGAGCTACCGGCTAACAGGAAGAGAGGACATATGCACAGGAGCGCCCACACTTGCAAATGATACCCACGTGACCTGGACTGGATGACTGGACGATCGGAGCTCAACCAGGAGAAGAAAGAAGAAGGAAAAAAAAAAAAAAAGAGTGAGCTAATACAGTCTGATGAACTTGACCTATACCTATGGAGTAGCAACTCAAAAAAGGGAACAAATCCTCACAGCTAGAAACATTCACACACCCACACACACACACAGAGTGGACAGAGAAGGGCAGCTTGGACATTGGATACTCAAATTGGGAGGAGGGGACTACAAAGTCAAGAAGTGACTGGCTTACAAGCTTTCAAGAGGGAACCTAGTGCTAGGGAGCATGGCGGAAGGCAGAATCTCCAGTAGATACTATTCAATCTGTCTGGGCAGAGCTGATGAAAGGAGATACAGATGGGTAACTCGTGATACTGTAGTGAATAATGCTTATCAGGACGGACTATAAGGGTTGGAAATGCAAAGGTAGAAGTTTTGTAACAAGGAAGGGGGTGATTAAATCTCCAGGATAGGAGCAGAGACCTCTGGGACCATCAACGGAGAAGAGCCGAGAGCGGGACCCTGCCCAGAGAAACAGAGATGCCTGAGATGGAGGCAGAGATGATGACATGGAGTGATGAAGTGACTGGGGACTTTGGACCCAGAGAGGGAAAGGGACTGTGGGCTGAAAACTGGGGGGATGAGGGGGAAGTGTAGGGGGCGGGTTTCTGGGATATACCTTTTGGGTGGTTGATGATGCATGGAGGGGATTGGAACCATGGCAATGAGATGATATACGATGGAATGAATGTAAAACTAAAGCTCCCCCATGTAAACTATCATATAATTCACAATAAAACATTTTAAAAAACCTATGATATGTAGATGATACAACCTTGCTTCCTGAAAGCGAGGAGAACTTAAAATACTTACTGATCAAGATTATTAAAGATCACAGCCTTCAGTGTAGGTTACACCTCAATGTAAAGGAAGTAAAAACTTCACCACTAGACCAGTAAATGACATCATGATAAATGAAAATATTGAAGTTGTCAAAGACTTTATTTTAGTTGGATCCACTATCAAAGCTCATGGAATCAACAGTAAAAAAATCAAAGAATGCATTGTGTGGTGCTGTGGTTTAATGCACTGGTCTGCAAAGTTGGTTTGAACTGCAAGGTTAGAAATTCAAGCTCACCAGTTGCACCATGGAAACCCTATACAGGTCACTATCAATTATCTGACTCCTCAAAGGCATTTAACAACAACAACATTGCATTAAGCAAATCTGCTGCACAAGAACTCTTTAAAGTGTTCAAAAATAAAGATGTCAATTTGAGAACCAAGAGGTGCTTGACCCCAGTCATTGTCATTCTCTATAGCTTCATATACATTTGGAAGCTGTACAGTGAATTAGAAAGACCTTAGAAGAATTGATATATTTGAATTATAGTGTTGGAGAAAAATATTAAAAATACCATGGACTTCCTGGAAGAATTATAGCTAGAATGTTCCTAAGCAGCCAAGATGTTGAGACTTACTCTCTCAAACATCAGATATAGTATCAGGAGGAACCAGTCCCTGGAGAAAGACGTCATGCTTGGTAAAGTCAAGGGTCAACAAAAAAGAGGAAGATCCCCAATGAGATTGGTTGTCACAGTGGCAACAGCAATGGGCTCAAGAATACGAACAATTGTTAGTATGGCACAAGAGTGAGCAATGTTTCATTCTGTTGTGTATAGGGTTGCTATGACTCAAAACTGACTTGAGGGCTCCTAACAACAACAATCATGAACTTCAAATATCATTTATCCCTCAGAAAAGTTTTCTGGTTCTGCATCTTAGGAACTTGTTTGAGCCATTCTGCCTTGTTTCTTAATTTAAATTGAAGTTATCCATTGTCACTGAGACATTGTGGTGTCCTTGTACTTGCATTTAATTGATGATTGTTTGTGTATTCTTAGGCCCTCACCACTTGCTTCCTGGTGGGTTTGCTTGAGAATGGAAGTTTATCCAAGGTTTTCTGTTCACTAATGTGATCTGAAGTTTAGGAGGAGTTTTGTTGGTGTTGGCTGCTGTCTGTTCTTGATCAGGTGGTACAGGACCTGGCAGTGACTCTCACCCAGTGGCTGAAGCTGCAGGGTTATGGGTGTATCTGGACTATACGAGCATGGTTGCTGTCTCCTGTTGGGTGGGACAAGAAAAAAAGAAATAAAAAAGAAAGGAGCAAGCAACAAAAAAAGAAACTAATAAAGGAAACAAACAGCAGGCAACAGCAAGAGAAAAAAAAAGGAAAGGAAAATAAAAACAGAAGAGAAAATTAAGAAACAAAGTATAAAGAAAGATGTAAAAACACAATGAACAAACTAAGGAGGAATATTAAAAGAGATAGAGATAAAATAATATTAAAGGTAAAGCAAGAGAAAAATAATAAGGGGAAGAGAGAAAACAGAAGAGAAACAAAAGCAGCAATAAATAAATAAAGATAGCAGAGAAAAAAATATGAAACCAAGAGAAGACAGGAAAGAAAAAATGGAAAAACCTGAGGCAGTCACCAGACTCAGAATGTAGAAAACTGTGGGAGCCAGCACATCTAGTTTGGATTGGCACCCTTTATCAACCATGTTGCTCACAGAGTGGTGGAGAAAGGTAAGATGGTTGAGTCCTTGATGGAGTTCCTGCCAGCCTAGTTATTGTCCAGGCACCTGATCTGGAAGTGGCCCATGCTGACTCACATGGTGACTGAGGTAAGGTTTCCTGTTCCAGAGAAACTCTTTTGGGACCACAGGGCATGTGTGGGCAGGAAAGTTGTTTATGTAAGGAGTTCCTGCTCACCCAAGGTTGCTAGAGACCCACCCCTGAGAATTTAACAGCTTGATGAGGCAGAGTTCCCAAGTCTCAGATAAAGAATTAGTGTCTCTAGTGCCTGAGTCACATTGAAACAGCTCTAATCACTGGGAAATCAGGGATTATGCACCAGGTGGGTGAGGGTGTAGGCTGCCTAAGCTTCTGGTTACCAGGAGAGTATGCAGAACAAAAGAGAATTGCACCATTCTTGTTGCCAGCCACTGGTGTTATTGTGTTATCCGTGTTAGCAGTCCACTGTCTCAATAGAATGCTGTTTGCAATAGTTGAAGATGGTCGTGCTCCCTCAGGTCAGCTGGCAGTTCACCTGTTTCCTCTCTTAACTGATTTTGTTCACCTTTTTCACCTTGTTGCTGCTGTTGAGTGCTGTAAAGTAGGTTCCAACCCATAGCAACCTTGTGTAGGGTTTCCAAGGAGCAGCTGGTGAGCTTGAACCACCAACCTTGCAGTTCAAACAACTTTGCAGTCCAGTGCATTAACCCACAGTGCCACACATACACTTCTCTATTCTTTCCTTTGCATCTCAGGATTCCAGGATTATCATCTGTATCTGTTTACTTTGGTTTTTCATATCTTTTTGTAAGGATCAATGGTGGTACTGTATAGTAAACACTGCACTGCTAATTGCACGCACAACTGCTCCTCAGGAAAAATTTGAGTCTGTCTGCCCACATAAAAATTTTCAGCCTAGGTAACCATATCTAAGGTGGCTATTCAGAATTGACTCAAAGGCAGTGGGCTTGGTGGATTGGGATCTTTGTTATAGATGATCTATGTAGGGTTGACTTATTTTGTCATCTTGCCAAAAATCTCTTTTGTTTGATTTCTTGACAGCTACTTCCATGAGCAAAGGAGCTCTGGTAGCGTAGTGGTTACGAATCGGGCTGCGAACCTTAAGGTCAGTGGTTCGAAACTACCAGCTGCTCCACGGGAGAAA